AGAATGGTTACCAAACGGTGCGTTGAAGATAATTGATCGCCGGAAAAACATTTTCAAATTGTCACAGGGCGAGTATATAGCTCCAGAAAAAATAGAGCAGCTCTATACAATATCAGATGCTGTTGGCCAGGTATACGTTCATGGCGATAGCATCAAATCAAATCTAGTAGGCATAGTAATTCCCGATGAAGATAACCTCGCAAAATGGTGCAAGGAAAAGGGAGTGGACGTTAATGAAAAGTCGTTTGCTGATTTGTGTTCGATGACGGAAGTAGCAAAATTAATCATGGATGATATGAATAAAATCGGTCGACAGAACGGTCTCAAGTCCTTTGAATTAGTGAAAAAGGTTCACTTAGACAGTGACCCATTTACAGTGGAGAACAACTTGATAACACCCACCCTGAAGTCAAGAAGAATCCAGATCGAAAAGAAATACAGAGCTCAAATTGACCATATGTATGAGGACTTGGACTAATTAGATGACGTCAACATGAAAAAAGGCAGATAACCAAACAAATTTTGCCCCGGGGGATAGTCTGTATCTGTCAATATATTCAATAGAAAGCAGCTTCTAAGATAACTTTGCAGCCTTCTAAAATTACGTGTTATATTATCCCGACATCCATCAAAGCACATTCTATGATCCAATCATTTTTATTACTATAGTTGTGGCCCTCTGGCGTTGTTTACGTTTATTCTTGATGAAGTATCAACAACAATATAATTTTACTCCTGTTTAAATCCGCCATATTTATTCAACCTTCAAGTTTAGTCACTTTTTTCATTCGTATCATCTCAGGTAGTCATGTTATGGTGGAACGTTTGCATAATATTTTCGCCAATAGACTCTATTTTTGCTACAAGACTATTATCCAGCGTGGGTTAATATCAATATTATTTTGCATGTCCCGTTATGTTTTATCTAATGTTCTGTTATGTATAGAACAGCCATTTAACAATTTATCAGCCATTTATCGTATCTTGAAAGCTGATCTCTTGTGCCAGCGTGCCTTATGTTTGTGTGATCCAAATATTTTGTTACGAATATAAACGCCAAGCATTACTATTGTTGCGCATGTATTTGTCGGACTGTAATTTATACGATGATTGGTGATGTATTGCAAGTTGCAGCCTACCAAGTATGGATCTACAGTAAAATCTGATCCCGAAGACTACAACGACCGAATGTTTAATTTAAAGCATTTCCTGGTATTTGTCATCATGGAAACGTATAACTAATCGATTCATTATTTCTGTTTAATATTTTCGCCCGACTTGTTTGTATCATTAATATATATATTGTACCAAATATTCACAATCCAGTCTTACTTTGTAAATAAAATGATATTAATAAAACGAATACATTTAAAATTGATGCGATGCGATTTATTTTCTTAAAATCAGTTAACAGGTAATCTAATTAATTCTTAGTTCACAATGGAATTTAACTCCGAGTTATTTGCCCAAGCAACTGGGATGCGATGTTTACGCATAGGCTGTGATGCAACTGTACAACAGGTTACAAACGCAAGAAACCATGCGGCAAATAACTCCGAAATGCCCGAACACCCGAAATTCCGATGCAGTGAAACTAAGAATGGCGGGAATGTGTTGTACGATTTTCGCTTCGAAATTAGAATAGAAGAGATGATGTAATGTTTAAGCAAGAAATAATAATCCAAATTTAACAAAAAAGGGTGTAAGCCTAAAAAGACAAAAAAAGACAGAAATTTGAACAAGGTGTGAGATAGTGTGAATGCAATCACGTGATTGAATTTGGAGAAAAAGGCAAATGTGCGATATTTATATTGTCCAAAAACTCACTAATATTTGACAAAGAGAAACGTTACAACTTGCAACTTTATCCCAAAATGAGAAATCAATGTTAGGCAGGGTAAATTCCCTGTTCAAATTTTGCTTAGAAACATTCAAAACTACAAGAGGTATTCCACGGAACAAATTAATCTATAATGATTTACGGAATAGTACAAATTTCACATGTTGCACTTCAATTATCAACGACACGACTTCGGTGGAATGAGCCAGGTCTGCCTGCAGCAACCTGCTCAAGTGTATGGGTGATTAACTATTGTTCTAGGACAGGGTGGTCCAAAGTTGTCGGATCCGGGGCTACAATTTTGTTTTCGGATTGTTCGCGGGCCAAAATAGTGCCAGGAAGAGGTAAATATTGCAATACGAAACACTTATATTGTGCAAACACATCATCACCAAACACCAATTTTTCGAATTTTTTCCGAATGCTACGCGGGTCACTGAAAATGAGCCGGCAGGCCATATATGTCGCCCGCGGGTCTGGGTTTGGACCACCCTGTTCTAAAACAACGAATGCCAGAAGTCGTACTAAATGGCCTGTCCAACAATAAATTGGCTTGTAAATTTTAGTCATAATTATATCGGTTTGCGACATTTACATTAAACTGGCATTCTAACAGAGCTGAATATATGGGGCATGTCTGGTGTTCGTGTATGTTCTTGTTTATAATGTGGCTCTTCGTCGTAATAAAGTACAGAATGTGGCTCTTGGTCTCTAACTGGTTGGCCCACCCCTGTTCTAGGTTGTCATTATACCACTTGTGATTTGAATGTGACATCATCACATGAGAACTGCTGCTGATGGTTTTAGTCAGTTCAATATTAATTGTTTCAATTGGAACTTTGTATGACTAAAAAATAATATAAACAAATGGATGAATCACTATTCCGTTACTCACTATAAAAACAGATTTACAGTTGAAAAATTACAGATTAAAACGTACTGTTGATTTTTTGTGGAGATACTTATATAACCTCACAAGAAGCAACTTAATAAAACGTTTTCCTGAGAAACATGATTTAAATTAATAATTCATTCCGCTCGCTTTTATATGACACACATTTATTTTTTTGCTGCACCTAAAATGTTTTGAATATAATTGGGGCTCATAATAAATTTGTCCATGCACAAAAATTGGAATACCGTGGCGCCAAATTACATTCGGATGAATCCATGAGCTTCGTTATGTTTATATTTAAGCCGGAAACAAACTTGCGAGAATAAGAATAATGCGAGAACAATCTTTAGCGAAAAATATGTAGAAAAGTAATTCTGCGTATACATTTCGCTCAAATCCAAGTCTTTTCCTTCAAAATCCCATCCTCGCAGAAGTCCTTCTACGTAAATTCCATTCTCGCGAAACTACTTTTGCTTAAAAATCCGAATATCAAAATCGACATTTTTGTATCGTTATTATTAAGTTGTGCGAACCCAGATAACCAGGAAATGTTTTGCTTCAAGTGTTTATATTCTAGTTTGGAAATTCCTCCCCAGAGCATGCTTTATATTTTAACAACGAGGGATCAATGTTCAAACTCATGTACGAATGCCAAAGCGAAGTAGTACGGGTTTGAAATCGTCCGCAGTGGACTACCGATACCGCTGTCTTCATGGCTTCCCCTGACCACCAGATAGCAACAAATAATACAAACGCGGAACCGCCATCATCGAACACTAAGAACGAATCCCATGAAACCCCCAGAGATTTTTGAAATAAATAAAGTAATTCCATAGCCATCGAAGATTTCAAAGCAATTGGCCCACTAATTAAAACAAAAAGCAATTCCTTCATAACAACAAGAAGAAAAGAAATAGTGTACCAACAAGAAGATCAGCAATACCAACAAAACGATCGATAGCTCCACTTCAAACGCATAGTTGTAATGTTCGTATATTTCATCCATAGGGCACAAAAGCGTATCATCCTCGGAAACATGATCAATTGAATCTTAACTGCCAGGATGGTATTGTCTCTGGGTTATCCATAATATATATTCCAACACCATATGTTGTCGAGTTACCTTATTATTATTCATCGCCAGCTCAAATACCAAGTATAATATCGTCACGCTAATAACCAAATTGCGTGAGTCACTTTTTGGCGATTTCGAGTTTTCCATATATATATAATAGTTATTTATGTCATTCTGTGTACTGTTAGATTTTACCAGATGGATGCTGAAACGCATGAACGGAAGATAGTATGTGACGCACGCATTGTTGCAATTGATCAGTGATAATGAGTTGTTATTGGTTTGACATAACCAATATATAATATATATTTCAAACATAAAAAATGATGTTTTAAAAACAGAAAGACATAGTGGAAACCGTAAATTACATATACGCTATTCGAATGTTTGGTTTTTAGGACTCATGAATATAATCAAGTTGCAAAATTGCGTATGTTTCTAACATTTCTGCGTAAGTCGCCATTATTGCGTCACACGCCTACGTCATGCAAATCCGGCTACGACTAAAAAATTGAACCATGTTAAATTATTTACTCTTAATGATATAGCAATATCTCCAGTAAGTTTCATGTGTGTTGCTCAAAACAGATAAAAATGACTTACGCACTTTTGTTATTATCGTGACGAGATGTTACTACCAACAAGGGTAAAATAGCACATTGGGAGTCCAAATTCGTCTGAAAATTTGTTAGTGAAGTTATAGGTAGGTTCAGATTAACTTCAACCTTGGTTATAATTTGTACAATTTCCTTCGTAAAACACGTATCACGAGTTACTGGGGAGACACGAATCCCTGCCCGAATATCAATTTTTAGTTTTGTGACAAAAAGATATATATTTATTGCGTTGTTACACATTCGTGACCCTAAAACTCGTACCATGTTTAATATTACGCGGTTACCTCTAACATGCTATTTTGCACTAAATTTAAACTGTCTCATTCTCATTATCTCGGGCCGGTCTTGATTATAGCATTCATAAAAACTTTTCATAGAATAAATACCACGAGTATTATGGAATATAACACAGTCTAGCAATGTTTCGGAATATCATTAGGAAATTTAACCTGCCATCGGTCAAATGGGTCAATCAGCACGAGACAAACAATAATCTAAAATACATTTTGCTACATTTTATTTTCCGTTTCGAATGTTTCATCATAAAACTATACAGAAACATTATTGAAGACATCAACTTTTTGTGATAACAATTGCAGGTAGATCATATGTTATCCTGGTCTTTATATCATCTTCATTCTTTCTCTCCGCTCCAAGAAATCTCTTTAGCCGCTCTATGAAAATATCAAGTGGGTCAACGTCTGGACGATTATTCTTCATCAAAGCATGATATTCTCCCTTTGTCGTCCAAAACTCGCGATAGTTTCTCAAAGTCCAATCAACAGTAAACTGCATCCCATCTAAGAAAGACTTCGCCTTAGTTGGTATTTTTTTGAATAGTGGGACGTAGCGTTCTAGAATGAGATTATTTCTTTCGTGTCCGTTGATATCTTTCAGGAACTGTCGATTCAGCTGGTCAAATTGGTAGTCTAAATCTTTTTGGTTAGAAACCTTTTTCTCTGGAAGAAGTATCATGGAAGCTTCTAAACGAACGTAAATTACTGCACAGCCATCAGGTTTCAAGACTCTCTGACATTCTTTAGTAAAATACTCGATATCAAACCAATGAGCAGCATCCACGCATGTAACTAGATCGATAGAATTATCCTCGACAGGAAGATTGTTGTCAAGCATTTTCTTATACGTTACATTGTCAAATTCGTTCACATCTTCCGCCACTTCCAACTGTTCGGCACTGATGTCGACTCCTAAAATATGTTTGAAATAGGGACTGAATGACTTGATTGCTTGTCCGCTACCACATCCAACATGCGATCAAATGTTTTCTCAGCAGATCCTCCTTTGCATTGTCTCAAACGTCCAACAACTTGTTCGGCAACATGTGGCGGAATTGTTGTCCTATATTTATGATATTTCTGTGCCAATTCCTTGCCTTCATAAATGCTGATAAAATCATTCAGCCCCATTTTTCAAAACTCTTGAAAACTTATTTCTATTTTTTATTGCAACAAATGTACTAGAAAAACATAAAGTTAGAAACTATTGATGCATAGACACACCTGAATATTTTTTTGAAACGACAGTTATACGAATAGTGGCGTCATATTTTGATAACGTCTTTGAGTCATTGGAGGCTTGTTCAACAACCGCACTTTCTCACGCCCTACAAAACTCTCACAAACACTCATTTTAGTACACTTTACTCACCCAAATTTTCAAGTATTATCACGTTATTTTAATTTAAATCGTTTTATTCGATTCGCATACCACGACCACTATCAGTTATATAAAAAAGATCTGCATTCTGACGACACCCAAAAAGTATTGTAGGAATACGAGTACAATTACGTACTCATATTGTATATTCCTCAACGCAATGCACTACTCGATGGTGATGTTTATTTTGGAATATTTATCTTACATCAGCAGCGTTTATTGATCAGCACCAAAGCAAACAAGTAACATTTTGTAATATATATTTGTAACATAATTAACAACACACTGAGCATCCGGCAACCGCGAGTAATCAACGTAAAAGACTGAAACTCAAAAAAAAAGATTTCAAAAGCAAACACAACAATACAAACAAAAAAAGGTCACAAAAACAAACACTGAAACATCTACAAATAGACAAACCTGGAACCCAATATCAATCTTTCAGCCAGCACTATAAAGACAGACTCAACCCATCCATCTCTAATATTCTCGTATCTTTTAATACATTATTTTTAATTTTTATCATTTGCAGCCATATCTTGTTTTATCTGACTATGATCTAACGAAAGCTAATAAATATACTTATTATTTCGTATAGAAAGAGATTATGTTATTTCTAATTAACAAATATCTGATTTTTCAAAAGTTACACCGATTGTTCTCATTTGTAAAAAATGTAGTTTGAAAAGAATTTAAATCTTGGAGTTTATATTATTATATGTATATATATTGTTCAAATACACGGGTATAAGATTAATCCCATAATGAGTGTGTTTCGCTAGTGTTTTGCGAAAGAGACCCTTGAGGTGTTTCTCGTCAAATTCGGGTATTTATTGTTTCGCATTTTTTGATTGGCATAGAGTAAGCCTAGAAAATGTTTCATTGGGTTCGACTTCAACAAAAAGGTTGAAAACCGATGTCCTACGTAAACTATTATTTGAGTAAATTTAGTACAAATGAATATGTATTTTGATGCTTCAACCAGATAAAGATCAAAACTGAAGCGGGAAAGGAGAATATAAATAGACAACAACTGCCATAAATGCATCAAAGGTTATTCGCTATTGATTTTATTTTTTGAAAGGCTGAAAGGGACAAAAAAGTTTGAAACTATAAAACAGCGCCGCATGTTTCCCACTCGACAATGTTTTCAGATATGTTTTAAATTATATTTATGACATCAACACATTATTCTGCTCACAAACCGTTTCCAAAAATGACCGTGTCACGAGCGGTTTCAGAAAAATAATAAAACACCACGAAGCAAACACGGCTGCAGCTCGTGTCCGATTTCTCAATGATCACGATACATAAAAAATTGTGCTCTTTTGAATCTAAAGAAGAGTTGTGCAGAATTAATGATTACGTAATACTGTTCTGTAAATGATACTGTATGCACTACTTTATGCATTGTTTGCATTTCATAGCCTCTACACTCACATCTGAACGAAGCCACTTTTGGTTTACGCTCAAAACCAGATATTACATCCGAGTTTCCCTGTCATTTAGAGCAGCGTTTCCCAAACCTTTCATTGTCGCGGACTGTTTTCTCACTGGCGAAAACCTTCTGCGGACTCTAGGAGCGTTTATTGCAACATTAAAATTTCAAAATCGGAAATTCGCCGCAATTACGCGTTTGTTAAAAGAGCCGACTTTTTTAGTGTATAATGGCCGTTTCTGTCGCACAATATTCAGTCTATGACAACGACGAGAATTTAAAATGTCTTTCAATTTTATTTATTGTGTTCATGGTAACTCGCGGTTGCGTCGACTTATGACAAGATGAAAGCATTACTTCTTTAAAATGCCACGGCAATCTGCGAACATAATAATGTGAGAATATATTGCCCGATTAATTTAGTTTTGATACATATTTTTTACGATCTTGCGAATTTGTTATCGCCGTTAGAAAAATTCTACTTTCTGCTGTAAGTTCCAAAAAGTACAACTTGATTTAGCACTTAAAAATATATTTAAAGTTTATTAGTGAATCAATAATACATATTCGTCGCCTTGCTTTACTATTAAGTTAATTGTGATGATTTTAATCTACAATTGTGTTGACGAAATAATAGCAATACTACTCGGAATATATCAATATGGTAAAGTGCCCGATTATATTTTGTTTTGATTCGTATTTTTGTGAATTCGACAAATCTGAGCTGTTCGTACGACAATTACGGCGCTGTACTTACCAATGTGGAGACTGAGGCAAAGAATTCCAAGGAAAAATGCCCTGGTACGTATACCACGGTAACACCCGAAATTTGGCGATTTGCAATGTCCAAAAAAGCGTTTTTAATCGGTCGCGGACAATCATAAAACAAAACTTATGGTGTTATCCGTTTTATTTCTAGTATTTTGTATAGTCGCTTTTCAATTTAGAAAATTTGGGTTGTCACCATTGACACCTACCAAAAAAAAAAAAAAAAATTTCCGTTGTTCGAACTCGCGAACTCTATCGAAGCGTGTGCAGACTCGTGTTTTCGTCGGAAGGTGTTTTCGTCACCTGATACCAAATTTTCGAATAGTAAAATGCTATTCTAATAGTTGAATATTCGAATATATGCCCAGTCCTACTCATTAGCCAGTATTTATTGACTCGAATAATGTTATGTGAATAAACTTGTCTTTTATTTATGTAAATTCTAACGTAAATCATAACTTGACTGAAGTTTCGCAAAAACGTTTGCAGCCCGCAGTGAATTTCTGGCTCGTTGCGGAACTCATTCAAACGCTTCGCGGACTCATTTGAGACCGCGGACTCGGGTTGGAAACCCTGTTTGAGAGACTCTCGGAACACTTTGCAAATCATTTTTTTAAAAACAAATTAACAATATCTGCTTTTTTTCAATTTTCACTGATTGTTCTCATTTGTTAAAAAAAGTAATTTTAAAAAGTTTTTCTACAGCGATTACAAAGTGCTATGTGTTCTTCTACTAACCAATTGATTATTCTCATTCTAAACAACACGCTCTTCTGTGCTTTCTGGGTTAATGCGTCAATGTGTGTTTTGTGGATTCAAACTTTTTAGATTAGATAGTTTATTTTAAAGTCATATTTAAATGTAAAGTGCTATACAAATACTCGGGAACTTTGATATTGTGTATTGAAGTGCAGGTTCTTTCTATGTTGATTACTTTCTACTTCGATCCGTATTAGGGTGCCAACTTTGTGTTAAAACATTCCGGGACACCTTAACGACTAGAATTTGAAAATTGATGAAACAAAGGCTTGTAATCACGAAAGACATCAAAAGAACAGTGTACGCTGTGCGTCGAAGAGTGATCATTCCCGCGGCGTTATTTTCATAAATTCAAGTCTTTTAAATAATTTAAACCAAATCAAAAAACACTTGAATCGTTGAATCTTTGAGGCATAAATACAAACGAATCAATCTAATCCAGTGGATCTAAAGTGGATAAATATCCAAAATAGGGCGGGCAAATCTAACGAGTATTTTTATTGTTAATTAGCTTCACGCCTTCTCAAAAAAATTGTCCACGAGCCTCAATTGTGGGGCCGCGCCTCGCCTTTTGAGAACCACTGATCTAATCCTATGTTCACCTTTACCCTTTACTTTTAACATTTTTTCTTTACTTGCCTTTAACTGACTCACAGCTACAGAATCGCTTTGAAACTATCTGCGTTTTTTTCAATTAATATACCAAGTTGAATGATGCTCTCAATTAGGGTGACTACTGTATATATGCAATCCAGTTTGCATTGTTTTAACTTATTTGATTAGTATGTCACCAGAAAGTCATGGTTATAATCGCTGTTATTAAGTTATATATATCTTGTATTGTTTGAAGAAGTTGGACCATGATCTAACGAAAGCTCACAAATTATACTTACTATTTCGTTGGGAGAGATCATGTTATTTTTGCTATAACAAATGTTTATTTTTGCATTATCGAGACATCGGTGTTTCCATATTAAACTATCCCACAGAACAAGTGTTGTAATTAATGTTGTGTATGGCTTTAATCTGGTATCTTTGAATTTGCGTGAATTTTGCAATGTATCTGTTGAAAACAACATCATCTTTTTTTTAAATATGATTACTCCTCAATATTCTGGAAACAATGGAACCAGTGGAAATTTACAAGTGTTATTAAAAGTTATTTTAAGTGTTAATAAAAAGTGGAGTGTTTTTTCGAAATTTCTTCGACAACATTTGTGATTGTGTTTTGGTTGCTGGCCGATTTTACTTATATATACGAATGTAAAATTGGTAAATGAAAGCCACTGTTCAAATTGACACTATCACAAAGAACGAAAAAGCATTTGTATTGTAAAAAAGGGAAAATACTTAAACGTAACAAAAATGGAGAATTCTTGTAATATAATTAGATTGAAACTGCAATATTGGGTTAAATTATGATAAATTACTTTTATGTCTGTATTGTTATTGATTAATGTTGTTTATTGCAGTATTGTTTATTTTATGAGAATCCATTAAAAAAATAAGACTTCCCTTTCCTAGTAAAACTACCTCTTTTTTAGGAGCTCCCGTAGATGTGCACCAAGATGGCGCACAACCTGAACATAGTATGTGTACCGGGTTAAGGTTCAAGTTGTTCGCCATCTTGGTGCACATACTTCGGGAGCCCCCTTTTTAATATTGTATATATATGACTTTTTTACTGGTTGAAAAAAAATAAACTTGACTTGTAACATATTATAATGTATAGTATTGTATTGTCATAGTGGGACTGGCATAATACGGCCACTGCGTGCCAGGAGA